GGTAAACACATTTAATAATGACAGTAGGGTAAAAGTGCTCAGGTGGGTTGTATGGGTATGCAGGTCGGAAGTATGTGATAGACCTGGTTCACCTTCTAAACCTACAGTGAGAATCTCCAAAGTATCCTCTTTTGTCTTCTATTTAATATGTTTGAAGGTATCCATACAGGTTTAGCGCCCCATATAACCCATTAAATGTCTAATTTCCTAGGGCCAGGAGTGTACACTCCTCTGTACCCACTTATTATATATATACATTATTTAAATATATTGAACTATAATTTGTTTTTAGCTCATTATCTGAGATTGCTCATTTAACTCTCTCATCTAATGAGCGTGGTTCTAGACTATGGACCTAACAAACACCTGTATTAAAACACCAAAATTATGTACAAACACAACTCTGCCTTCGAACAACAACACTACACATCGAAGCATGCTTGAGCTAGAGGGTGGCCCTGAAAAATGTCTTGCACAGGGCCCTTTCAAAATTAGTTCCACCACTGGTGGTGAGCGAATAAAAAGTTGCACGACAGTAAAATGTGTTTTTGTGTTAATGAATTAAGCTATTTACTTATCTTTAAACATTTCAATCATGATTGATATAGAATTTATAGAATTAATAAAGTGTTTTCTTAATTAATTGAGCAATGCAGAGACATTTGATAAGGCTGTTGTAAATTTTAGGCCAAAGCTACTCCTTCGGGAATTAGATTTCACAGGATTTTGTTTCCACCTTGGATGTCTTAGCATACAATTTGCTATTCCATTGTCCAATATAAACAATGATATGTTTAGCGATTAAACACCTAATTATATTGCCTCTGGGTAATGCATCGTCATTATTTTCTTAACTATATTGAGATTACCTTTATAGACAAATATTAAAATGTGTGCATTTATAGTTCTCTCTCTAATACAGAATCATATAAACACAATATATATTAAAAATTGCATTTTTTTCAGTCATTACACTTCCCAATTAATAATATACAAAACAGTATCAGAATACTCTGACATAGAATTCCATTATGTGTAAAAAAAAAAAAATAACAACATTTAATGCGAATATAATGTAAATATATATTGCCATATCAATGAATCTTCTAAAATTATGTCCCTGGTATTTAAAACTGAGAATAAAAAAATAAAAACATAAAAAAATTAAAATGCAACCGAGATCTCTGATCAGTGCTGTAAGTTTTCCCAACGGTATTTTTAAAAAACAAGCTGAAAATGTCAAAACAAGAGAAAATCAACTGTGTCCATAACATAATAAACAGCACAACTTTTGCAACCTTGTGAATATCACAACACTAAGACAAACTGAAATTTTTTTAAACAAGAAAAAAGTAACTAAATAAGTTTGGCACATCCTTTGAATATTGGTCAGTATGATCAATACGATACACCAAATAAAACAAGCATCTTTTTAACCTCTAGTCCAAAGATGGGATAGGAATTATAGCCTTGAAGCCAGTTTGAGGAATTCAGTGTGCCCCAGTCAATAGGTTCCATCTGTTCAGAATTAAAAAGAATGTACGATTCTCTTAGCCTTATAAGAGTTAATGTTATTCCCAGGCACGATAAAATTCAGTTTCTGCAGTGATTAGATTAACCAGTCTGAATCTCTTCTAGACACTTGCTAAATAGCTTTTTCTATGTTAAACACACTCCCCACACACTGGTAATTTAATAATTCCACAGGTTTGAAAATCTTGTCATCACAGATTCTTATTAATCTCACATGATATCAACATGACCTCTCTGACTGAGGCTAATTTATTGAGAAGCAGCGTATTTTAGATCCATCTTTATTCAGTTGCATAGAGTATAAAAAAAAAATCTCACCTGCCCTCAATTTCTGTTTCAATGTATATCTGAGACACCCACGCATATCCATTGTATGTAACATTAAAGGGGAAGTCAATATTTTATTTATTATATGTTCTTATCTTCTATATTGAACAAATATATGTGTGTGAGGTCTGAAAAATAAATGAAATGTTCAAATCTAAACCACTGTATTTTACTATTCCCTGAATTGATTTCCATCTTGACTCAATGTCTGTCATTATTGTGAGTTCAGCTCTTCTTTGTCAGTCTGTTTCTCTCGATACCATGTATTGCGTGCTTAGGCTGTGATATCCTGAATTGGAATGCAATGGCAATTGCCAAATCTTTAACATACATTTCAAAGAAAATGTAGCATCACTTGCAAAAATGGTTGGTAGAAGTTACAGATGTCACATGCACTGTCAACTTATCACTGCCCCCCTATCTCTATTAGGGTAAACAAGGAAGATTTATCCTAAGCCGTGGCACTACTGGGGATCCTAGTTCACTGTTGAACAATTTAACAGTGAACCGAGAGACTGTGCACTCCAGTCATCACAACCACTTCAAATATATGAAGTGGTAATAAATTCCAAAGTGTTCCTATTCATTTTTTAAACACAAATGCAGAGTTATTTACTAAAGTGAGAATCCAAGTAAATTTCATATTTTATTCCAGAGTAGCTGAACTGAAAGCATAGCTGACTCTGTATTTTCCCAATTTGGCTACAATCACGGGAAAAAGAATGTACACCCTCTTTGAATTTTACATATCAGGACATAATAACAATCATCTGTTCTTTAGCTGGTCCCTAAATTAGGTAAATACAACTTCAGATGAACAACAACTCATGACATATTACACAGTGGCATAAAACCTGTCAGGTTAAAACACCATCCATATTTAAAATGATGTATAAATAATTGGCATACTTTTGAAATTAAATTTGTTTATTACAAACAAATTCTGTTGTTTTTTTGTGTTTTTTTTTACAACTTATTTTTTATTATTTTCAAATGGTATGGGGGTGCAGAAGGAAAGCAGGGAGGGGAATCCACAGGTATTGTACAGTATGACACAGTTTACATTGCATCGAGCTTACAGCGAGGACTTTTGGGACTCTTGGGTGCTTCCCGTTCCAGCTGAAACAAAGTAGGATTGCTTGTAGGCATGCCAGATAGTTTTGTGGAATCTTAATTTGTAGGGACCGGAAAAGGTACAGGATTTTGGGGAGTATTGTCATTTTGATCGCTGCTATTTTCCCAACCCAGGATAGGAATAGATTTTTCCAGCCTTGTAGCTGTTTTTCAATTTCCCATAGCAGTTTTGTGTAGTTTGTAATGAATAATTCATTAGTTTTGTTAGTTATTCTGATGCCTATGAATGTTAGGTGGTCAACTCTCCAGTCATATTCGTGGGCTGCTTTTAGGATGTCTTCAGTGGTTCTAGGTACGTTGAGACACATCGCTTGTGTTTTGGCGATATTGAGTTTGTAGTAGGACTGCTGACTATATGCGTGTAATTCTTTGTGTAGTGATGGGAGTGAGATGAGTGGTTGGGTGAGCGTGAGTAGTATGTCATCTGCAAAGAGGTTAAGTTTGTACTCCTGTTGGCCGATTGTTACTCCATGTATATTAACGTTCCTGCGGATGGCTATTGCAAGAGGCTCTAGGGCCAGGACGTATAGAAGGGGAGATAAGGGGCATCCTTGATGGGTGCCATTGGTGATCGGGAAGGGGTTTGAACAAAATCCCGAGGTCAACACTGTAGCCGTGGGGTTACTATACAGGGCACTAACTACAGACAGGAAGGGCGGTGGAAAGCCGTAGAGAGCTAGGGCTTTGTGTAGGAAGTGCCAGTTTAGGCGATCGGATTCCTTTTCGGCGTCTAATGAGAGCATGATGCTCTCTTGTTTAGTATGCTTCAGGAGGTGGTATATATCAAGTATCTTTCTGGTGTTCTCCGGACCTTGTCTGTCTGCTACAAATCCCACCTGATCTGTGTGAATTAGGGAAGGTAGTATCGTTTTGAGGTGGTCAGCATGGATTTTTGCGTATAGCTTGGCATCTGCGTTGAGCAGTGATATTGGCCTAACGTTTTGGCATGTGGTTGTGGGTTTCCCTGGTTTAGGGATGGTGATGACATGTGCTGATAGGAACTCAGCGGGGAGAGAGCCTTTTTTAGTTGCATCATTATAGAATTGGGTAAGAGGAGCAGCTAGTTTGTGTTTGAACGCTTTGTAATACGTGTTGGTGTACCCATCGGGGCCTTGTGCTTTACCTCTGGGCATTGCATCTATCTGGTGCAGCACCTCCTCTATGGTGATGGGGGTAATGAGCTTTGCTGCTTGCTGTGGGTGGATAGTGGGGAGTGAGAGTTTGTTGAGGTAGGCTCTTATGGCCTCTGGGACAGGTTGGGGCGAGTTTGGGAGGTCTTTCAGATTGTATAGGGTATAGGGTAGTAGTTGGCGAATTCATTGCATATTTGTGTGGGTTGCATTACTTTTTGCCCGGTTTGTGTGTGTAGGAATTGTGTTCTCGTTTGTGCTAGTTTGTTTCGCAGTCTAAGGGCTAGTAGATTCGAAGCTTTGTTTCCCATTGAATAGGAAGTGGCTTTTAGTTTCTTTAACGCTGCGTTTGCTTTGCGTAGGTGGATTTTGTTTAGTTCGTTTTGTGCACTTTGTATTTGTTGTTGAAGTATCTTTGTGGGATTTGCTTGGTTTGCTCTGTGGAGGTCTTGAACTTTTTTGAGGAGTGTGAGTAGTGTGTTATGGTTAATCTTTTTGAGATATGCTGCTCTACCTATCAGGGTTCCCCGAATAACTGCCTTATGTGCCAGCCATAGAGTGGCTGGGGTTGGGACATTAGGAGTATTGGACACAAAATATTGGTTCACTTCTCTCCGTGTTTTTTCCTTGAAGGAAGGGTCGTTGAGGAGGTGCTTGTTCATTCTCCAAGGGCTACGATTTTTTAATTGGTATGAGTCTGCGAGTATTAACAACACTTGGTTATGGTCAGATAGTGTGGATGTTCCTATTTCGCATTCTCTGACCTGTTGTAGATGGGTGTTGTGTATGAGGAATCCATCTATGCGGGAGTATGTATTGTGGACTTGGGAGTAGTGGGTATATGCTTTGTCGATAAGGTGTAGGGTTCTCCAGACATCATAGAGACCGTGCGATGCCAGTAGTTTGTTCATGGAGTTGCAATATTTGTGAAGGTTTTTTTTTTGAGTGTTGGGCTGTGGAGTCTGCATTAGGGTTCAGAATGTGGTTAAAGTCCCCACAGATGATCATGGTGCCTGTTTGGAGCTTTTCTATTTTGTCCAGGAGGGAGGCCAGGTAGGTATCCTGGTTGTCGTTTGGCGAGTAAGAGTTCACTATCGTGTATGTGGAATTGTTCAAGGTGCATATTAGGATGATAAATCTGCCTTGTGGGTCGGGTTCCATTGAGATTAGGTCGAAGGCCAGAGTGTGGCTTAGTAAAATCGACACTCCCCTGCTTTTGGTCGGGGAGGTAGCGTGGAACTGATGGAGGAAGTGTTTGAGTCCCAGAATGGGGTTAGAGTTTTGTTTGAAGTGTGTCTCCTGTAAGCAGACGATATCCGCTTGTGTGTTGTTGAGTTCTTTAAGGAGAGTGTGTCTTTTATTGGGCGAGTTCAAGCCACGAACATTATGAGTAATTATTTTTATGTTTCGTGGTTGTGTGCTTGGGGTATGTGTCGTGATAAGCTTTTGTAATGTGGTATGGTTATTTCTCTGTGTAGTGGGGAGGAGGTGGTCACAGTTCTGTTGGGGTGTTGGGCCTGCTGGTATGTCTGGTCTGTTCGTCAGTATAGTACGGTCAGTGGGTAGCCGTGTCTTGGTGTCTAGGGAGTGGTACCAGGTGCACAATACAAATTGTGGAGAAACGTAAAACAAATTAAACAATTAAACAATCAAACAATAATTAAAAAAAAGTATCTTTCAGTGACTGAGCTTGGCACTTCCTAAGTGGGGGTAATGTGGTCGGGTCGGGTCGAGCAGAGATTACCTCGGGTTCAACGTGAATCCCCTTTCCTCCGACCATTCTTTGGTAATTAATATTTAGTGGTTGGAGCAGCTAACGCCTCTGAGGGTGATAGATTGGCGGAAGAGGCAATGACCATAAAGGTCGGCAGTCGGCAGGCAGTGCTCTGTTTTAATTGATGAAGGGTTTTGGTAGGGCTCTTTGGGGTTACATATTAACTGCCCCGCCTCTGCTAAGGAGGGTAGGTCATAGGGGCACAAGATAAGTATATAGATTATCTGTATAATCATCACATTTTAACCCAATGCATAACAGGTAAATATTAAATTGAACTTGTTTAGAACTTGTTGTGTTTCACCGAGCATCATCAGTCTTCTCTTGGGGACATGCATCTTGTTTTCAGGGGACGCCAATCTTCAGTTAGGGTTTTTCCGTGGTCCCGAGGGGGTGGTTGCAGGTTCCGAGACATACCCCACTCTTTCAGTAGGTCCATTCCCTCTGTTGGTGTAGCTGCAACTGTGAGCTTGCCTCCTTTTGAAATAAGGAGTTTGGCAGGATAGCCCCAGCGGTATGGGACATTGTGGGATCTCAGTGCGTCCGCTATAATCTTAAAAGATCTCCTCCGGCGTAGTGTTTCTGCGGATAAGTCCATAAACATGAGAATGTCTTTGAACTGAGTAGGTAGGTTCTTTTTGGTTCTATGTGCCCGTAGTATTTGGTCCTTGACATGATAATAATGGAGTCTCATGAGGACATCCCTTGGAGTGGTGGGTGGCAGGTGTTGCGGTCTGGGGAGCCTGTGGATGCAATCTAGGAGAAACATGTCCATTGTGATATCAGGCAGTAACACTCGGAACATCTCTACAGAATAGGCCGTTAGGTCTTGTGCCCCTATATCTTCTGGTACACCCCTCAGGCGTATATTGTTGCGGCGTGATCTGTCTTCTGCATCAGCGATTTTAGTCTAGTGATGGTAAAGTTGTTCTTCAAGTTTGCTGAGGCGCGTTTCGGTCTCATTTTGAGCCCCTGTAAGGCTTTCTATGTTGCCCTCAAGGTGGGAAGCCCTTGCTTCCAAGTCAGTGAGGCCTTTCCTTAGGTCATTTATTGCCTCTGTAATGGCGGTTTGCATCTTGGTAACCACTGCATCTAGCATGGTTTGTAGGAGACCTTGTGTTAGGGGGCTGTCCTCCTGTCTACTCACTGTGTAGTCGCGTTCAGCATCTTCATCTGGGTCGGCGCCATCTTGGGCTTGTGGGAAATTCTGTTTTTAAAATGCGTAGATTATTTATCTATCAGATGAACAACAACACATGACATATCACACCATGTCATGATTAATTTAACAAACACAGAGGCAAATGGAGAAGCCATGAGTGAAAAAATAAGTACACCCTTACTGCTTCCATAGGAATTAAGATGCTAAGTAGCATTAGCAAGTTTGACCACCTCCATAAAAGCCGACGTTTTAGATGTTTGCTGGTCTAGAGCACTTAGGTGTGTTTTAACACAATGCGGAAAGAGTTTAGCAATGGCCCTAGAGAAGCAATTGTTGTTGCCCAGAAAACTGGGAAGGGTTATAAGGCCATTTCAGACTGTCATTCTACAGTGAGAAAGATTATTCAAAAGTGGAAAACATCCAAGACAGTTGTCAATCTTCCCAGCAGTGGATGTCCCGTTATCCTGTCTATAATACAAAAACAATAAGTATAGCTTATATAATGCATTTTCATATATTTTTGTTTGACTGTTTGTGTTATTATTTCTATATAGTTTTAAAAAGGGGAACATTTTACAAACGTTGGGTATATATTTATATATATGAGAATATGAGAATATTATGAGCACTTATAGGACAACAATATATGTGGGCAAAAAATAAATGGGGTTAGTATGACTACAAATGCATACCTCCCAACTTTGATGTCTTGGGGTGGGAGGGGTAAAATGGCAGTGGGACAATGATACTATTCTCATCACAGGCTCTGCCCAAAGGGGATAGACCTACCCAGAAAGGGGACAGGTCTGCCTGTAGAATTGCCAGGCCAACCAGGCATGTGCCAAACTGCCTGTAAATTAGCCAGCCCACTTAGGGCAGACTATGCTGGGAGCACTGATTCAGTGCTCTCTCCAAAATCCTAATACCATGAACATGCGACCATGTCTAATGATTCACTTACACTATGCTTGTTGGGGACATTTCCCTGGTGTCCCCAAAAGTTTTAATGGTGTTCAGGACCAGCAAATCGGGACTGCCCCAATAAAATCGGGACGGTTCAGAAAGCGCCTGCAAATTGGACAATGTATATGGGCTGATATTACATATATGGGGCAAAGTGAAATTATATGAAATATAGCAATATAAAAGGTAATAATCACAGAGAGGTAAACATAGATCATAAGGCTTATATGTGGAGCACTGCACACAACTTTCACACAGCATTAATTAATTCAGCAATTAGACATCATTCACACACTCCACAAATGAGACACACTTTTCACAGAGCATTCAAACACTGTAGAGATTGTAATCATTTAAGATCTATTGTTTATGCAGCTCTAGTTCTGCAAACAATCATAATAAGTAATTAATAGCAGTTTTGAGCTCATTCACCAGTAAGTCTACAAATGACTGTGTTGTGCAAATGATGCAACTAATGACCACTGAATAAAAAGCCCCATGTGGCGCTATTGACATCTATTGTATACAGATGAATGGAAAACTTGTTTAGAGTAAAATATTTCTTCTTGCTACTTTTAGAGCTTAACGCAGCACAGCACAATGAAATTTTAGCTTACCTACTAATAACTGTTTACACAACTAAAATGTAATTTAGAACAAGATCAATGTATCGTATTTACATAGACTGATTTCTAAACACATTAATTGTAGTTTTTCTCCATATTGGGTTGTTTGTTTCCTTTGTGTGCTTTGGACATATCCCATCATATTAATTTTAATTGTGTGTACCCTTGTCTGTGCAGTTGCCACCTATTGCTTTCTATGGACTGTGTGATAGACCAAAACGTGTAGCAACAAAGAGGCTTGTCTGTCTGAATGGCTGACATTACAGTAATTATGTTGTGTAACTACTAATACTACATTACCATGTAGTAATACTGTAATGTAGAGTTAAAAATGAGAGAGACGGGTGTATAAAAATTATCAAGAACAATTTCAGGTCTTTATTCGCACAAACATTGAGTACACACAAAATTTTGCATCACGAAAACATTTTGCACAAGATAAGATGTCTGCATACACAAACTAATAAAAATTAGAGGGAACATTGCTGACGATATAAAACAAATGACATTATTTGGAGCAAGTTTAAGCCTGATGAATAGGCCAAAAAATAAACAAAATTAACCAGCACACTATCCTTAATTTCTACACACATGTAAATGACTGGAGGTTTTTTAGTATCACTCCAATGGCCATTAACGTGTAGGCTCCCCTACCATGTCAAGGCAAAAGCTCTTAGGTGAACCCTACATGAACAATTCACCTTTCGGCTAAAAGGCAATCTCTCTAATGAGACAGAGAGGAGTAATTTTCTTAACCCCTACACACTTTTAAACCTTTAATAGATTAAACATTGGGTGGACAGCAGCACTGTAGCATGGCTGTGTAATACAGAAACAAATACAAGCACACAAAATTAAATTCTTAAACTCCCACTACTCTTGGGCAGGAGCAATGGCTATAGTATTCATGAGCCCAAAGGCAAAGAACAAAAAATAAAAAAATAAGCTGTTCACCTGTGCACTATCCCAAATCCCTATGCACATTTAAATAACTGGAGCACAGTTTAATGGTCATTGGAGGAGTGCTAAAAATCTCCAGTTATTTAAATGTGCATAGGCATGTGGAATAGTGTGCAGGCAATGTTTTGTTCTATGTATTTGGGCTGACAAATACTATAGCCATTACTGTCATTCATGCGAAATGGAAGTTTGAGCGAATGTGAACAAACAAACTGAGTAATGGGAATATAGAAAAGGTAGGAGGAAACAGTGCCCCAAACAATATATGCAGAAATTAATACGTACACAGGTCTTTTAAAGTTGTACACACAGTTGACCTCAAAGATAAAAGCAGAAAAATATAATAGTGCAGTACAGTATGTCCAGTCAATAGGTGGTGGAGTAATCTTATGTGGTTATCACTCACATTTAATAGAGCTAACTCAGAGCTCAGCTGTATTGGACATAGACGGAACAATCCCCGTCTGAGGATATATGATGATATGGAAGTCCCGGGTGTCTCAAATAAAGTGCAGTATGCAGGACACATACATGAATAAGTACAAGGAAAAAAATCCAATGGTGAGGTAAGTACTAACACATATAAATGAAGAAAGAAAGTAATATGTCTGCTTCTTTCAATGCCTATCTATCTAGTAAACAATCTAAGACAATAGCATTGTTGAAATGGTGAATTTTGTACTGCGCTTAATATAATGTCATTATGTGTATTAAATGTCCTTTTTGTGAAGCAGTGGTGATTTATGAAGCAGCAGTGATCTGGTGTTGCAGCTATTATTCATCTAGATAAAGATGACAACTCTTAAGTCCCCTTGATCTCAATGTGTAGTGCTTATGCCTGAACTTTGCTCCCTTCAAGCCCCTCTGGCTATGGGTTCATTTTTGCTTAATTATATCCTTAGTACACTAAAACCCATAGTTAATTCTTTATTGAAATCAGTGCTATAGCAGTATGATATTGTCTAGACCAAGCATGTCAAACTTGCGGGCCGCATGCGGCCCACCATGGACATCTTTGCGGGCCGGCGAGCCGCGAGTACATGCTTGGTGTTAAAGCGGAGTAGGCACCTGCTTTCCCCACATTGCAGGTGCCTACTCTGCTAAAATTTACCTGGCCGGGGAGAAGGGTCAGCGAGGGAGCTCAGTGTTCTTGCTCCTCACTGCTCCCTCGTGCACGCCGTCTGTAGTGAAGCCGGGCACCGAAATATGACATCATATTCCGGCACCCGGCATGGCTGGACCCCAGGGAGAGGCCCCACATCGGCTCCCAAATGTAGGGAGCAATAAAGAAAATGTGTATGCAAGAATGTGTAAATGTGTGTGTCTGTCAGTGATGAGTGTGTGTCAGTGAGTGTGTGTGTGTGTGTCTGTCAGTGAGTATGTGTGTGTCAGTGAGTATGTGTGTATGTGTCTGTCAGTGAGTGTCTGTCAGTGAGTGTGTCTGTCTTTGTGTGTCTTTGTGTGTCACTGTGTGTCACTGTGTGTCTGTCAGTGAGGGTGTCTGTCTGTGTCTGTCAGTGAGTGTGTCTGACTGTCTGTTTGTGTATGTCTGTCTCTGAGTGTCTGTGAGTGTGTGTGTGTGTCTGTCTGTCAGTGAGTGTGTGTCTGTCAGAGTGTGTTTTTTTTTCAGTGAGTGTGTGTGCGTGTGTGTCTGTCTGTGTGTGTCAGTGTATGCCTGTCAGTGAGTGTGTGTGTGTCTGTCTGTGAGTTTGTGTGTGTGTCTGTGAGTGTCTGTGTGTGTGTTTGTCAGTGAGTGTGTCTGTGTGTGTCAGTTTATGTCTGTCAGTGAGTGTGTGTGTGTCTGTTTGTGTACATCTGTCTGTGAGTATCTGTCTGTGAGTGTGTGTGTCTGTCAGTGAGTGTGTGTCTGTCAGTAAGTGTGTGTGTGTGTCTGTCAGCGAGTGTGTGTGTCTGTCAGTGAGTGTGTCTGTGTGTGTGTCAGTGAGTGTCTGTATGTGTGTGTGTGTCTGTGTATCTGTCAGTGAGTGCCTGTGTGTGTGTGTGTCTGTCTGTGTGTTTCAGTGTGTCTGTTAATGAATGTCTGTGTGTGTCTGTCAGTGAGTGTGTGTCTGTCAGAGTGTGTGTTTTTTTCAG